TTTATATTTTTTTCAGTGGTCATTAATATTGTGGCACTATGAGGCAGCCCAAGTTTATTTTATATTTTTCCTGTTTCCAGACCTAGGATCAGCCATGTCTTGTTATAGAGATTTGCATTGGTATGGATCTTGGTTTATTGATACAAATTTAAGGTCAATTTTGTTATATGTATATTTCTGCTTTTGATTAAGATATTGTGTTTGTGAAGCTCATTTAAAATGTAATTTATAATTAAGAAATACAGGTTAATAGGTAGTCATTTATAATAGTCAAGTTTGTAGCCATGTTAGTTAGGTTTTCTAGATATATAGAGATATATTTCAATTAGATAGGCATTCTTCTAATCTTTCAGAGACCTTCAGAATATGGCATTTAAAATGTTTTAAGAGCCTAAGACTTTTCATGACATTAAGACACATCGGCTCCTGGAAGCACCAATCTATTTCAAGAGGATGATGGGCATCAAAGAGGCTTCTTATGGAATTTGCTAGCCATTTGGGCAAGAAACTGCTCTTGCTTGGACTGCTTGATGGTATGCTGTGTGAACTGGACATTCAGGACCCACAGAGAAATGACTGATGAACTTACCTAAAGGTGAGATGGTCCTTCAGGGTTCCTGCTTCATGAAAGAGTCTGTCAGACATTCTGCAGGACACAGAAGAAAGCAACTGATGGACTTTGCCATTACAAGGCAGAACAGATCTTTAGGTTTCCTGCTTCATGGAAAAGTCTGCCAGATACTATGGGCTATAAAGATTGGATGCCTGCAACATTACAGAAGAACTTTGGGTGACTGCCCAGGCAGCGAGTTGTCTTTGTCAATTCTAGAGTTTTGGAAGTTGCTTACAATGTTAACTTAGGTAATATATCCTTCTGGATTCTTTGATGGAACTGAAGAATAGATAGTTATAATTATAGTTTTCCTTAGTTATGATAAAAGATAAAATAGATAAAATATTGTAGCTATAATTCTTGCTTGATACCTGTTTTGTTGTATGTAATTTTACTACGTTAAAGTTAAAGCCTTGCTTTTTATTTAAAAGAAAAGAGGAAATAGTGTTGAAAATCCTTTTGTATATGTGCTGCTTTTATTGGCTAATGAATAAAGAAGCTGGGTTGGCCTGTGATAGGGCAGAATAGAGCTAGGTGGGGAAAACTAAAATGAATGCTGGGAGAAAAAAGGCAGAGTCAAAGAGATACTGTGTAGCCACCAGAGGGGAAAGACAGAGCTGCCAGCTGGAACCTTGACAGTAGGTCACAAGCCCCGTGGTAAAATATAAAATAATGGAAATGGGTTAACTCTAGATGTAAAAGCTAGCGAGCCATACACTTAAGTGTTTTGTTTGGCCAACCAGTGATTTAATTAATGCAGTTTCTGTGTGGTTATTTCGAGTCTGGGCAGCCGGGAAGGAACAAGCAGGGCAGCCGGGAAGGAACAAGCAGCCTCCGACTACAATGTCTCCAAGAAGTAACCAGGCGTTCATTTCTTAACAGTGGGTTTTGCTTGATTTTCCCCCAAAAGTCCTATTTTGACAATAGTCCAGGACACTCCTACTTATTATATCCACCGTCCCAGAGTGTACCTACAGCCGGTCCCACCTCACCCCTGCAGCAGTTCCCACCTCACCCCTGCAGCAGCTCCCACCTCACCCCTGCAGCAGTTCCCACCTCACCCCTGCAGCAGCTCCCACTCACCCCTGCAGCAGCTCCCACCTCACCACTGCATCCATTGAAGGTATTTGAGGCTGTGAGCTTTTCTTCTGAGGTAACCCTATTTGTCTTTAATTTTTTCTCATAGTTCGTCAAAAGATTAAAAATTATTTGTATGTTCATGTGCCTGAATGAGCCCAGGTGCCCTTGGAGGCCAGAAGAGGCATCAGGCCCTGGCCAATGTGGTTGCCAGGGACCCAACTCAGGTCTCTCACCTCACACCTGCAGTAGCTCCCACCACTGCAGCAGCTCCCTCCTCACCCCTGTAGCAGCTTCCACCACTATAGCAGCTCCCACCGCTGGGAGAACAGTCAAGGGCTCTTAAGAGCTGAGCCATCTCTTAAGCCCTCCCTGGGATTTTTATGAGCTTTCTTTCTTTCTTTCTTTCTTTCTTTCTTTCTTTCTTTCTTTCTTTCTTTCTTTTTTTTTTACCATGTTTTGAATTTTTAAAAAGGATTTGTTTTATGTGCATTGGTGTTTTGCCTGTGTCTGTGCAGGGGTGTTGGATCCTCTAGAACTGGAGCTACAGACATTTGTGAGCTGCCTTGTAGGTGCTGGGAATTGAACTTGGGTCCTCTGGAAGAGCAGCCATTGCTCTTAACTGTTGAGCCATCTGTTCATCTGAATTTTCTTTCCTTTTTTTTTTTTTGTATTTTTTATCTAGTGATCTGTGGCAAAGAAGAAGATTGAAGAATTGATTTAATTGGTCACATTGAAAATATCACCATTTATTTAGGCTTTCTTCCCTTCCCCTTTCACTCCCCTCCCCTTCTCTTTTCCCCTTCCCTCCTCTTCCCTCCCCCTTTCTCCCCTCTTTTCTCCTCCTTCCCTTTCCCCTCCTTTGTTCTCCTCTCGTCCCCTCCCCTCCCTTCCCTTCCCTTCTCCTCTCCTCTTATCCCTTCTCATCCCATCCCCTCCTCTCCCCTCTCCTCTCCTGTCCTTGTGTCCCCTCCACTTTTTTTTCTGTCTCTTCTTTGCCTCTCCCTCCCCTCCTCCTCCAGGGCTGAGTAATGAACCCAGGGTCTGTGCTTGTTAGACAAGCGCCTGTCACTGTCTCTGAGCAGCACCTTCACCTCTATCTTTTTCTGTGTAGACATTCATCAGGCTTGGCTGGGACTAGAAATGTGAGCCACATGTCAAAGCTGCAAGCCAGATAGATGTTCCCTTTCATCATTGTCTTTGGGAGGGGCAGATATAGCAATGGTGACACTTTCTGGACCGAAAATGGGCACACATAATTTGCTATGTGCAAAATCTTGGCAGGTCCGGGGACAGAGTATAAAACTACAAACACGGCAGGTTTTTGTTTGTTTGTTTGTTTAGTCGGTTGGTTTGTTTTTGAATGATCCCTTGTTGCCTTTCAGATGCTATTACTGTGCTGTGGAAGCCCCATTGGTTTCTTGGCTTTATCAACACCTTTGTGACCCAGACATTTGTGCATCTGAGGCTTGTGGATTCATTTCTTTCTCCCCTCACCTACCCTCCCCCTCTCCCTCCACCTACCTTTCCCCACCCCTACCAACCTCCCCCACTCCCCCCTGTGCTGGTGAGAGAACCCAGGACCTTGCATTTGCTGCCAAGACCTCTACCATTGAACTAAATTCCTGAACTCTGATGTTTTGTTTTGTTTGTTTTTCTATTGGCTGTTTTTTATCCAGAAAGTCATAAGCTCTTAGTGTGCCTTTTCTAGTAAAAAGAGAGTTGAGGGATATAAGGTATAACAGAAAATCATTGAGTTTTTTTTGTTCTTTCTTACATTAATTTACCATGACCACGTGACTCAAAGCACAGAAACCTGTAATCCCACAAGCAAAGTGCTGGCAGGCTTGGCTTCTCCTGCCATCTCTCCAAGGCTTGCAGATGTCACCTTTTCACTGTCTTCATGTGTCCTTCTCTCCGTGTGTATGCATCTCCACCACACTCTGGTGTAACTACCCACCCCGAAGGAAGCCAGTCAGATTGTATCCGCATCTGCGCCTCCAACATTATTTCAACACGATCTTCTCTTTGACAGTTTCATCTCCAAGTCTGGTGACACCCAAAGGCCCCGAAGGGCAAAGTGTTGACGTGATTTGTAAGATGGCATTCCTTTCCTTGAGATAAACGAGATTAAATTTGCTTTGAAACTTGAGCATTTTTATAAAAGGTGCTTGGTGGCTGAAAGCCTTTATGTTGAGAACAGATGTGACCTTGTGTCGTTCTGAAGACTTAGGACCTGTTCTCAAGAAAGGTCAGGTTAGCTTTCCGCACTGAGTCATTGCTTGTGCGTGTCCTTAGTAAGTATTCAAAGATTGGAAGACCAGTCAGAAGCAGGGTAAGAATTAAATCACAATGAAGACAAGACACATGGAGAGTGATATTTTCAGTTGCCAAGGCCCAGAGGGACATTAGGGACATTTATACCATCATTTATTTACATTCAAACATCAATTTTAATGTAAATCTTCAGGCACTTTCTTTTGGGGGGCACGTCGGGGAGTGTCTAGACAGTATTTCCCTGTGTAGATCAGCCTGGCCTTGAACTCACAGAGATCCATTTGACTCTGCCTCCCGAGTACTGGGTTTAAGTGTGTGCACCAGCACAGCCTGGTTTAGGAACTTCCTCTAATTCCACGGTGTCCCACATCATTTCCCCTAAATCTAGGCTGTTTTCGCTACAGTCAGTCATCTCTCAGGACCCAGGTCACTCTGTGACTGGAACATAGGCTGATCTAGCCCCAAGTTCCACCTCACTTTCCCTAAGGGTCCTTTCTTTCTTTTCCAGCCCTGGGCATTAATCTTTAGTTATTATAATTTTTATATTAATTTATTACAAATTTCTTGAGGGGACGGAACTTGTTTTTGTTGCTGTGTATGTCAAGAACCTGCAAGCCTTTACTGCTTCAGCTGGACTCTGGCCACTGACTGCCAGGCGCTGGAAACAGACCCTGAAAGGGGCCCCTCCTGGTTTGTACAGGACTCAGGAGTTTCCTGGAAGGCAACTCTCAGTGTTCAGTCTTTAAAGTCCTGAAGGTACTGCCAATGTTGCCCAATCTAAGCCGCCAGTTTCCCTGGATTCCCTCCGGCATTTGAATCGGTGGCTCAGGGTGCCTCAGCAGAGTTGAACGCAGAGCAGAGCAGAGCAGAGCAGAGCAGAGCAGAGCAGAGCAGAGCAGAGCAGAGCAGAGCAGAGCAGAGCAGAGCAGAGGTCTACTATGGGTACAGGATCAGGGACCTCTCTTAGGTCATTTCCTCTGTTATCTTGTCTATTCCACTCCAGTTTTAACCTTGATTCCCAAGACCACCTCCTGAACAACTGTTTGCCTTGAAGTATGCTTCTGAGGGTAGCCAGTCTAGAGAACGGGTGTTTCTTCTGATGAGGTGGAAAGGGAATACATTCCTCACTTTTCTCCATGCTCTGGCAAAATCCCATCACTGGAGTAAGGGTTTATTCCAGCTCATAGTTTAAGAAGGGGTACAGGTCACCATGGCAGCGAGGGCTGGCAGGGTCTACGAGACAACTAGTCAGTGCGCGGGAATGCAGACAGACAAACACTGGCACTCATCTGACTCCTTTTCTTCTATTTCTTCAGTCTGGGATCTCCTTCAGGGCACCTCCCTCCTAGTGATCCTCTCTGGAGACATCTTCACAGATATCCAAAGGTGAGCCCCCAAATGCCAAAGGCACTCTCAAGTCAATCAAACTGACAATGATGATTAAGCATGGAGTGGCGGGGTTGGAGAAGAAAGTCGTGTTGGGAGATGGTTTCAGAGGTGAAGGATTACTGAATCGGTTAAAATGACAAGGCGGTGGTGGCGCACGCCTTTAATCCCAGCACTCGGGAGGCAGAGGCAGGTGGATCTCGGTGAGTTGGAGGCCAGCCTGGCCTACAAGAGCTAGTTCCAGAACAGGCTCTAAAGCTACAGAGAAACCCTGTCTTGAAAAACAAAACTAAAAATAAAAAAATAAAATAAAAAACAATGACAAGATGACATGGACTTTTTGGGCAGACAAGTCTGGGAGGTGTGACCTTGGGTCAGAAGGAGGTGAGGAAAGAGGCCTGGTGACAGTGTCCAGAACAGAAAAAGAGTGGATAGCTAGGCTTCACACAGAGTTAGCTGGGAGTCTTGTGTTGAGGGAAACACCTGGCTTGTCAGGTGCGCTGATAAGTTTACTTGCTCCGACAAATGGAGTATTGCTGTTGCTTTGAGAAGGAACCTGAGGGAAGAGAAGATTGTAATAGGTGAGGGGATGGCTGGAAACTGAAGATGCTGAGAAGAAATAAGTTCAATGCCTAAGGACTTAAGGGACTTAAGGACTTAAGCTGCCAGAGAGCATGCTTAACATATATTAGCCCTGGGTTCAACCCTCCAAAGGAAATGAAAAGTTGACATAAAGGGTGTGTGTAAGAAGTGCAAAGGTGATTCTAAGGAACATAATGTCAGTGACATTTCTTACTGGAGGGTTGGAAGTAGGTCAGGCAAGGATCTCTCAGGGCCCAGCACCATGCCTGGTTACACACTGTGCTGGTGGCTCCCTATGGGAAGCCTGAAAAGAGCCTAGGTTAGAGGAAGGACACAAGGGCTCTGTAGTTGGTCTTCCTTACGACTGACAGTTCCCAAATAATGACATGGAAACTTCTTATTAATTATGAATGCTTGACCTATAGCTAAGGCTGATTCCCAGCTAGCTCTTATAACGTAAATAAATCCATGTATATTAATATACGTTCTGGCACATGGCTCATTACCTCCTATACTGTATATCTGACTCCTTCCTTGTCTCATTGGCTTAATCCCACGAGCTTCAGATTCTTCTGGAGTTTCTTTCTCTCTCTGGAAACCCTGCTTACTCTCTCATGCCTAGTTATTCAGCTCCTGATTAAACCAAGCAGAAGGCACCTTAGGCAGAGACATGGCTTCACAGTGTACAAAAAGATTAGGCTACAACAGGGTTCTATATTGTCTGGAAAGTTTGGAGGCTGGTGGGACACCTGTCAGAGACTTCGTGGAGGACCCGAGAGAGTGCAAGTCCTCATGTGTTCCATAATTATGATTGTCGTTGCAGGTCTCTCTCCAATGGCTGCCATTCTCAGGTCTGTCCCACGGGTCTTTAGGGGCTCTCAGTGTGCCTCAGCCCCTCTCTCAGCAAGAATGTTCCAGAAAAGAGCAGATGAGAAATGTACCCTGGCTAATAAAGTGGCTGTCGTCACTGGCTCTACAAAAGGGTGAGTGATGGAAGTCCCTGGCTGGCTTGTTACCAGGAGATGTTGCCATGGTACCCGTGGATACACTCATCTCATAGATCCCTGTGGTCTCCCCCCCCACCTCCATCACACAGCTCTGGTGTTTAACTCTGGGTCTCAACATCTCTCCCTAAAATACCAGGTTTCTGAGCTCCAGAAGATTCATAGTTACAGAACCAGCTGCTCTAAGACAATCAGGGCAGAGTCTGAATGTTGCCTCTGACCATCTGACAATCCGTACTAAACAGTGACCACTAGAACAGCACATCTGCTTCCTTGTCTTCCATATCTACCTGGCCAGTGGTTTTTGAGTATTCTGCTAACAGAAAGAAGCCTGGCATCTACTGTGCCTTAGACTCATCCTGCATATAGTACCAGGCATGTGCAGGCTGATGTCTGGCCACCAGCTCATAGTGCTCTATGTACCCTTGCAAGGCCTCCCATATCCCCCAGTTCCATCTGTCTTCTGGCTCCTGTAACAATATGCATTTATAATGAGTCCTTACCATCATCAGAAGGAGGGGAGACCGCCATCCTCTTGATCTTTTATGGTCTTAACATCACCAATACATTTAGAACGGTTTAGAATTTCTGGGGAAAACAAAAGAACTAGAGTATCCAGATCCCAGTGATGTCTTAAATCTTTTGTATGCTCCCAATTCTCAATATTCATAACTCATAAAATACACTTAAAAATTCTCAACGGCCCAGAAAGTTTCAACAAGACACGGGCACGTGCCTCTTTCTTTTCCATGATTGGAGCCGCTTAACCAGTACCTGTCAAGAGTCCAGACCTCCTCAGTGTTAGGAGACCTAGAGGATAGCACGTCCTCCAGCAGAAACATTTTAAAATTGCAGACCAGAGGGAAGGCATTAATTTAGGAAGCATACAATCCCTGCCAGAGCCCTGAGGCCGGGGAGGAGAGTAACAGGGCTGACTAGTTAGGAAGAGTCTCCTTAATTAGTCCTGATACCACCAAGGCCACATCTCTTCTGACGGTGTAGCCTTTTCTTTTCAAAGCTCCTTTAATAAAATATGAGAACATCTTCATCTGTATAATATAATTATCATAATAAAGCTGTGATAATGAAATAAGATGACTGTGAAGGCCTGGCATGTAGCAGGTACTCAAAATGTCTGCTATTGAAGATTTTGAAGCCACTCTTGGGCAATGTCAGGGAAACAACTGACGTAGTCATTGGAGTCCGCCTGGGAACAAGACGGAGAGGGCCGAAACCATCACCACCATCTCCTCTTCTGCCCACAGGATTGGCTTTGCCATCGCCCGGCGTCTGGCCCAGGATGGGGCCCACGTGGTCATCAGCAGCCGGAAGCAGCAGAATGTGGACCGCGCAGTGGCCACACTGAAGGAGGAGGGGCTGAGTGTGACGGGCACTGTGTGCCACGTGGGGAAGGCTGAGGACCGCCAGCACCTTGTGGCCACAGTAAGGAGCCATGGGCTGGGATAGACGGAAAGACACTGATCTAACCCTGGCACGAGGAAGCTGGGGTCTCCAGAGCTGTAAATGAGGCCAATCCCACATTCTCAGGGTAGTCCGATTTGCTGGGGTCTCCAGGGCTGTAAATGAGGCTAATCCCACATTCTCAGGGTAGTCCAATTTCCTGCCTGGAAGGAAACAGCCGCTCTGCTCGTGCTAATCGGGAGATGACTAGTGTTTGGGCGTGACCGAGGAGCTTGCCTAGAACCTCAAAGGGGCCGGAGTTGCTGCAGCCCCAAGTGCTCTGTCTCCACAATAAAGTCTGAGCTGTGAAGCCCTGACCCAACATGTACTGTATTGATAGCCCATTAGGCTAACCTCTGAAACAAAAGCTTTAGGCTCAGGTCCTGTGGTGATCCCCCTGGAAGAAGTGAGTGGTGAGGTGGGATCTGAAGGAACAGGGACTGGACAGGTGTTGAGGACAAAGGAGGATTGATCCAGGCCAGAGAAAAAGGCAGAGAAAGAACCAACTAGAAATGGAAGAGCTGAAAGCAGGTCCCCTAGGAGCAGAGGTTTGGAAGGGTGGGGTTGGAAGGGTGGGGCCCAGGAGCCAATCACAGGTCTTACAGGGCAGAAACTAGATGCATCCAAGGAGGCAAGAATTGCCGTTTTATTCAGTCTCTGTCAGGATCTGGCTCTAACCTGGCACAGACCCAGGATGGCCAGTAAGTCACTGCGGTCACAATACTTGGCAGAAACAACTTAAATAAATAAAGGTTTCTTTTGGTTTGTGGCTTCAGTCCATCATGCTGGGGAAGGCAGGGGTGTGGAAGTATGTGGTCAAGTCTGTTCCCATCTCTGTAGACAGGGAAGCAGAAAGTGTGGTCTGTACTGTGGGCAGGCCAAGTATAGCCTGCAAAGGACTGTTCCCAGTGACCTTCTTTTTATTTTTATTTTTTAAATGCTATTTGCTTCCTTCTTTTTTTTAAATTTTATTGATTTATATTGAGCTCTACATTTTTCTCTGCTCCCCTCCCTGCCTCTCCCTTCCCCTCTTCAATCCTCCCTCAAGGTCCCCATGCTCTCAATTTACTCAGGAGATTTTTTTTTTGTACTATCCATGTAGATTAGATCTATGTAAGTCTCTCTTAGTGTCCTCATTGTTGTCTAAGTTCTCTGGGACTGTGGTTTGTAGGCTGGCTTTCTTTGCTTTATGTTTAAAAACTACCTCTGAGTGAGTACATGTGATAATTGTCTTTCTGGGTCTGGGTTACCTCACTCAAAACAATGTTTTCTAGCTCCATACATTTTCCTGCAAAATTCAAGCTGTTGTTATTTTTCTCTGCTGTGTAGTATTCCACTGTGTAAATGTACCACATTTTCCTTATCCATTCTTCGATTGAGGGGCATTTAGATTGTTTCCAGGTTCTGGCTATGACAAACAATGCTGCTATGAACATAGTTGAGCACATGTCCTTGTGGCACGATTGAGCATTCTTTGGATATATACCCAAAAGTGGTATTACTGGGTCTTGAGGAAGGTTGTTTCCTAATTGTCTGAGAAATCGCCAGAAAGGGGTTGTACCAGCTTGCATCCCCACCTTCTCCCAAGGTCCCCATGCTCCCAGTTTATTCAGGAGATCTTGTCTTTCTCTACTTCTCACGTAGGTATATTTGATCTATGCCCTCAGTGACCTTCTGCCAGCTTGGCTCTGCCTCCTAAAGATCTATCCCCTCCCCAAACAGTGTAATAGCTGGGGAAAAAAAAACCCAGCCAGAATATGAACCCATGGGGAATGTTTCAGATTTCTCTGGGCCATTACCACTCTTGACTCCGTGCCTTCACCTATATGCCCTCCCCTTTGTGTTGCAGGCCCTGGAACACTCCGGGGGTGTTGACTTCCTGGTGTGTATGGCAGGAGTCAATCCTGTTGTGGGAAGCACCCTGAGAGCCAGTGAACAGATCTGGGACAAGGTGAGAGATACCTTCCATACCCTACATGGTGTGTGTGTGTGTGTGTGTGTGTGTGTGTGTGTGTGTACTCACGATTGCACAAACGCATGTGCACATGCCCGGGTTCCCACACAGCTGTGTCTACACTGGTACTGATGGATGGAGATGGGGCTTCTCTGAGCTGGACTTTGCATAATTCAGTTCAATGGGCATGGTCCATGCCCAGTCTCTGCCAGGTTTCTGTAGCTTCTGTGTTTCTTCTCCTTGTGTGGGTCACTGCTACTAAGTCCTGAGATGCCAGAAACATTATTTTGGGGGTCTGGCTATGGCAGAGCCCTCTGACTCAGGTTTATGAAACTGACACAATCTGGATTCATTGGAACTTCGGTGAACCTTCAGTCTAGCTGTTCCAAAGAGCCACAGAAAGCGACAGATGGGGTTCTTCCCTAGTTCTGCCATCTCAGTTGGAAGCCATTGGGAAGTCAGGAAGCTCCCCTTGCCTCTGCAGACCCCCATCCCTGTTTTCCTGATGAGCCCGCCTATGACTAGTCAGATCTGAGCCCCCTCCTGTCCCTGGGAGCAGGGAATGGGCCTGTGATCTGAGTGTACCACTCCTTTCTGTGGCTCTTCTTTTTTTGGCCACCCCTACATTTTCTCTTGGTAGATTGTGCCCCACTTCTCCCTCTGGTTCTCAAGTTCCACGGCCTCCTTGATCTACCTTGCAGTTCCTCTACCTCACCCATCCACCACATTCAGACTTTCCAGCTCTTTTCTTTTTTCTTTTTTTAAAAGATGACCCAGATTTGATGCCCAACATTGCATAAATGCTTAACTCAACCTAACCCAACCAAAATCGTATCCACAACAGCACATACATGACGAGCATCACCAGCCCCCATTCTAAACCCTTCATGAGGTAGATTAGGTGCTGAGTACAGATTTCTCTTACCCATGTTCCTCCTTCCAGTCAGTCATTGACAACCAAGTTCTTCTCCTTTTCTTCCCCATGCTTCCTGGCCTTTCCCCTGGAAGATTGTAGTGGAGGTTGTCTGGGAGCTGAGTGTGGTAATTCTCTGAGGCCTGGGGAACTTGGGGCCTCAGAAGTATGTCCGCCCCTGACAAACTCTGACCCTCTGTGCTGGCTGGTCTATGTCAGTCTGACATACAAACTAGAGTTGTCAGAGGGTGAAGAGCCCTATTTGAGGAAACACCTCCATAAGATCCAGCTGTAAGGCGTTTTCTTAATCAGTTATTGATGGGTCAGGGTCCAGCCCATTGTGGGCGATGCAATCCCTCCTGGGCTGGTGGTCCTGGGTTCCATAAGGAAACAGGATGAGCTACCCATGGGGTGCAGCACTTCTCCATGGCCTCTGCATCAGCTCCTGCCTCTAGGTTCCTGCCCTGCTTGGGTTCCTGTCCCGACTTCTTTCAATGATGCACAGTAATGTGGAAATGTAAGTCAAGTGAGCGGTTTCCTCCCCAACTTGTTTTTTGGTCACGGTGTTTCTTCACAGCAATAAAACCCTGACTAAGACACCCTCACACACAGTAAAAGGACTCAGCGTCTCAGCTACCCACCATACTTACGGAGTTTTGTTCTGTTCTGGTGCCCGGACCATAGGCCGCAGACAATGGTGTTCATCTCTCAGCCCAACCTTTGTGTTGTTTGGGATTTCAGATCCTGGATGTCAATGTGAAGTCTCCAGCTCTGTTGCTAAGCCAGTTGCTGCCCCACATGGAGAAGAGGGGGTGAGTGCATGAGCGGTGGTGATGGGGGCCATGCGTTTTCACCGTGAACTCTGAGCTGTTTCCTTTTTGTGTGAAAACACAGTTTTCTGTCACTTTTAATTGAATGAGTCTCTAATTTCACTTCGTGTCCCTTTCTCCTTAAGGGGAAGCTCTGTTGTTCTGGTGTCCTCCTTAGTATCTTATATGCCAGTGCCGGTGAGTATGGCAGCTTCTGGCCCACCTGCTGAGGGCCAGCTGCCTTGACTCTTGTCAGGCCTTGCAGTGGGAAGTGGGGGAACTGACTGGTGATTCTAGATTTAAAAAGAAGAAAGTGGAGGAGGAGGAGGAGGAGGAGGAGGAGGAGGAGGAGAAGGAGGAGAAGAAGAAGTAGAAAAAGAAGAAGAAGAAGAAGAAGAAGAAGAAGAAGAAGAAGAAGAAGAAGAAGAAGAAGAAGAAGAAGAAGAAGAAGAAGAAGAAGAAGAAGAAGTTGTTCAATATGTACCCCAAAGCGTGGCACCGTGAATGCTTCAGATCAGATATTATCTCATTTTGTCCTTAAGGGGCAAAATTTGCCATTTGCCTCTAAGTGATGTTTCCTGACAAGACAGGGCCCTCTATTTCCTAATTCCAGATTCCTAACTGACTTCCAAAGTGTAGTGTTTCCTGTGTCAAGCTTGGATAGCATGACAGCAACTGGGTGGCCCAGAGAAGGACCTGACTCCTTGAAAACTCCCGTGGGTGTGGGGGTGGGGGTGGTGAGGAACTAAGGGAGCATCTGTTCAGGCCCACAGTCCGCACACCTTCATACTCTGTGTTCCAGGAAGATCCCTTGCTACCATATTGATTCGCTGCCCCCTTCTTTGCTTCTCAGAAACTGGGCGCCTACAACACCAGTAAGATAGCCCTGTTGGGACTCTGCAAGTCCCTGGCTGTGGAGCTGGCTCCAAAAGGCATCCGTGTGAACTGCTTAACGCCAGGAATTATCAGGACTGACTTTGGCCTAGGGGAGAAAGTGGTAAATGCCTTCTGCTCTCAATCCCCCCACCCTTTCTCCATATGCTTTCGGGTCCCTTTTCAACCTTCCATCTGAATGGAGGCCCACAGAGCCTGGACATGCAGCCAGAGCCCCCTCCTAGGGTCAGAGTTTGGGCAGCAACCCTTTACTCTTCTTCAGACGAGTGACGCTCCCCGTCTTCTCTGAGCAGACTAGTGTTCATCTCAGACTCCCACAGAGGTGTGGGTCAGCCATGACGCTCTTCTCACGCCATTGTATCAGCAGTCCTCTGCCTCACACTGGCTTTGAAATCTCTTCCTAGGAGAAAGCAATAATGGACGTGGTGCCTCACCTGAATAAACTCTATGGATTACAGCGGTAGGTAGGGCTCCGGGCTTTGGTGTTCTATGTTTTGTTTTAGGGAAAATTATATTTCAAGGTGAAAAAGACCTCGTGGCTATTTTTCTTCCACTTTGCCAGCTGCTTCCCCTTTTGGGAGTCCTAGGTTGGGGGCAGGAGGGCAGATATGAGTCCAACAGCCATCACCTCTGACTGAGCCTGGCGAATGCTAGGTGCCCATCCCAGACTGTGGAAGTCCCGATCAGAGCTCAGTGTTTCCTGTGACCTTATCTCTTCTTTCCTTCAGGTTAGGGGAGCCAGAAGACTGCGCCGGGATCGTATCTTTCCTATGCTCCTCAGATGCCAGCTACATCACCGGGGAGAACATCATAGTAGCTGGCTTCTCCCCTAGAGTGTGAAGACGCAGTGTGACTTAGAGACGGAGCTGAGGTCCTCAAGCAGAAAACAGAGGGCTCGGTGGGATGTAGGTGAAGAGCCCTTAGTGTGTGCTTGGGGTCCGGGTCATGTAGGGAATGCATACTTAACGATGGTGAAGGAAGGCAGGTGTTTAACGTTCTTATTTGGAATAAATCTGTTTGGATGCTTCCGGATTTGTTTCTGTTTGTCTGGCTTCTTTCAGCCAACACAATGTCTTTTAGTTTTCTGTTCACGGGATTGCATACGGCAGGAGTTCACAGTTCATAGCTAAACAGTGTGTGTGATGATATTCTTCCTCCACTCACCCATCAGTGGGTCCCCAGGTTGATTCACACACCCGAGCTCTTCGGGACAGTTCTGAAATAGGCTGGGCGTACAGACAATCTTTAGAGTACTGATTTTGTTCTCTTTGGCTCTATGCTCAGCCGTGGAATTACTAGGTGGTGTGGGAAGTACTCATGTTTTAGTTTTTCTTACAGAACTACCATACAGTTCTCCATAGTTGTATGCTTCTGTACATTCCCGCCAGTAGTGCTTCCCTGCCTCCTTGTTGGCATTTATCTTTGTCTTTCGACGTAGTCTTCCTAACTAGACTCAGATGTCATCGTCTCAAAGGCTGGATGAGCATTTTCCCAACGACTAGCTTGAGACATGTCTATGAAGGTTTATTCGGTCCACTTTTTTTTTTTTTTAAAAAAAAATTTAACTTAATTTTTCAATTGAAGATAACTTTTTCATATAATATATTCTGATCACACTTTGCTCTCCTTCATTCCTCCCACATCCTCCCTACCTTCACACACTTCCAACTTCATGCCTTCTTTCTCTTCAGGAAACAGAAAGATAAGAAAAATAAACAAACTAGAAAAACAAAAAACATAGACAAAACACAAGAAACACACACACACACACACACAGGAAACCTACAAAATTGGAAACCATAAGATTTTTTTTAAATAGCAACATATGACAAAAGTCCACAAAAATGCCACCGTTTGTTTTGTGTTGGCCATCTGCATCTGGGCAATGGGCCTCCCTTGAATGTGGTTTGTGTCCCAACACTTAAGTGAGATGACACTGGGAGAAAAGCAATTGTTTCCTTTGCAAATGGCCATCAATTGGCGCTCGCGTCTTGGTTAGGGAAGGGAGCTTGTGTCTACTGTTCCCTCTCAATGCTGGGGCCTGCCTTGCTGGCTGGGACCTGTGCATGCTTTGGCCCATTCTTTTTGTTTGTTTGTGGCTTTAGTTTTTCAAGACAGGGTTTTCTGTGTTGCCCTGACTGTCCTAGAACTCACTCTATAGACCAGGCAGGGCTCAGACTCCCAGAGATCCACCCGCCTCTGCCTCTTGACTCCTGAGATTAAAGGCACGTGCCAACAGCACCCAGCCACTGTGGTCCATTCTTCAATAAGATTGCTTATTTTGCCACAAAGTGTTTTCATTTTTTTTCTGGGGATTAATTCTTTGTCAGAAGCATAGTTTTCAACAGTAGTCATGTATCACTTGTGGGTAAGGACACCAGTGTATGGAATGTGCTCTTAGGTGACTTTGCTATCGTGGGGACGTAGAGTACACCTGACATGCTAAGATGGATATGATGTCACTAGGTAAGGTGACGGGCCACTGTCACATATGAAGATGTTAAGCACCTTTCCCCACTTTGGTAGATTGTCTTGTTTCTCTTTTGATTGTTTCTATTGCTGTGAAGCTTTTCATTCTTTAATCTCATTTGCTAACTCTCACTTTTATCCGTGCGTTTGAACCGAATTTTTAGGAATCAGGGTCCTGAGTGGTGAGGTGCTGAGTGCGAGAACAGAGGACAAGAAATGAAGATGACGAAAGCTGTAGTGGGACCAGGAGGTCTTGTGTAAATCATGGTTTACGTCAACCAAGTTCATTAGGAAGTACAGCATCGCACATGCTGTTTACAGGGGGGAACGGGCAAGGTCAGCAGAGAGCTGAGTCAGACAGTGTTGGTAAAGAGAATGTGGGTACCCAGATAGAGCTGCCTGAGGATTGATCACGATTGTACCCAGAGTCCAGACCCCCAAAGACCACCAAGAGACCAGATCCAATGCAAAAGCAAAGAGTCTTTTAATTGCGAGTTCAAACCCAGGTCTCTTGTCTGTCTGACAGGGCGGTGGAGTAGGAGAGACCCCGAGCAGTGCTGGGGCAGGGTATATATTGTGGGTAAAAGCAAAGGGGTCCAGGGGGCTACAGACTGCACAGGAACAGACTCAGGATTGGTACACCTCTAGCTGGGGGCACCTGTTCTTAAATTGGTTAGCTGGGGCTGCAGGGAGGTTGCTATCTCTTGGGTGGTTGCCATGGTTACTACACTCCGCCTTTATCAGGAAAGGGCATTCAGAGCCTGCTAACTTAACTTTTGATTGGTTCCCTACCATATAGGAGGTATCTCTGAGTTTCTTGTTAGCAACAAGGGCAAGAGCAGGGGCACTGTCCCAGGTTGGGGGCACAACACATCCTGTCACATCCTGCTGAATCAGAGGCCTGCATCCTGCTGGGTCTCTTCTGCAGCCTGTCATGACTGTGGAACGGTCAAAGCAGGGGTCTAGGCAGCTCAGAGGGAAGAGTTGGAGCCCCAGAAACTTCAGCCTTGACTCCTATGAGGTGCTGGCTCCAGCCCTAACAAGACCTCTCCAAGTCGACCCCTGGACAAGGATACAGGACTGAAGTTCCCTTTGTCCTTTCATCTGGGCCTCTGAGGAAGTCACGGGTAGATCTGGCTCCCCACTTGTTTTTGCCGTCATATCCAGAAAGTTCCTTGTCTGGACAAACATCATGAAGCAGTCCCTGCCCCCACACAACATCATAAAACAGTCCCTGCCCCCCATAGCATCACGAATGGTCCCTGCCCCCATAACATCATGAAGCAGTGCTCCGCCCCCATAGAATCATGAAGCAGTTCCTGCCCCCCCATAGCATCATGAACCAGTCCTACCCCCTCCCCCCCATAACATCATGGAGCAGTTACTGCCTCCCCATGTTTTTTGTCGTTTTGATGTCTGGCCTCAAGTCACATCTCTTCTTTTTAGCTGAGTTTCACTGAGTCTGGTCTATACATTCAGGCTTCAGGGGTTAGAGACAGAATTTGGGGATTCCCTTCTTCTGTCTCTTTCATTGCTGGGCTTCTCATTTATTTAGTAGCTTTCAGATTGTTGTCCTTCATAGTGTTTTCTTATGTCGTAGTTGTCTTCTTAGGGGAGTCATCTGGCAGCACCTTACTCTACGATTCCTAGAAAATTCTTATTTTATCTTAAAATTGAAATATAACTATATCACTTCCCCCTTTCTTTTCTTTCCTTCAACCCTTCCCATTTACCTTGTTTTCTCCCTGCTCTCTCTCAAACTCATGACCTCTTTCCTTTAATATTGTTACACACATGTCCACACTTCTAAATATATAATTACAACCTGTTCAGTCCTGTAATGTTACTTATATGTATATGATTTCAGGGTTGACCACTTGGCATTGACTAACAAATTAGGAGGTGTTAGGAATTTTTCCTAACAAGAGCTCTCTGCCAATGCAAAAATCCCAACCTAGCAAAATCACAACAAGCTGGAATTAAGGAATATCCAGGTTTAATGGGATTCCTTAATCTGGACTTTCCAGGTAGCAATTTAAATAGACTAGGGGAGTGGTCAAAGTTTGGGTGGGCTGTCTTGCCCCTCCTCGAGGGAGGGGTCAAGGTTTGGGGGGCACAGGGATGGGGCCTCCAAAGATGGAGGCCAGAGAAGGGGACTTACAGGAGGTTCTTTAACTTTTTAATTTAAAAAAAGGTTCAGGGTAGTAGCTGACACTCAGAAGTCTCATAGCTAAGATTCTGGAAGGGGCTTTGAAACGGCACAGCTGTCAGAGGCTGTACCTACAGGGTGACCAAGGCTCATAAGGAGGGAAGCTTCGTACCTAGGACAGAGAGGGCGTGAGGAGACAAGCTCCACTGGGAGCAAAGCCAGGAGCAAATCCAGTCCCGGAAGACAACTCAGTCCTGGGACACTGGCAGACCTAGACTGAGCCAGCGACCAGATCAAGAGTCAGTGATCTCCACAGGAACATTTTCAACTCCAATGCCAGGGACTTCTGTAGGAGGGGATTCAGACCAGGATTTACAGAAACAGATCAAAGCCAGAAACCTAGGCCAAAGTTTGCCCGAGACAGCAAACTGCAAGGGAGCAGTGCAAAATACAGGAACACTGAGCTATCTCCAGGAACAGGAATAACCAACCAGGTAAATAGAACTGTGACACTGAATGTACCATGAGGAACAACCATCTGAGCCTTGAATTCACTGACACCTAGAAGATTATTCAACAGAATCTCAGAAAGCCCCAAAAACACCTATTAGAGGAAAAGATGAGTAGAAAAGTTAAAACCATATGCTATACCACAAAGAGCAACACAACACCAGTAAAACATAAAGACCCTACAACAACAAGACCTGAAAAACCAAATATGGATGATCCAGAAGAAAATGACCTAAAAACATAACTTCAAGAGAATGTTTGAAATTCTTAAAGATGAAATAAGAAATTTCCTTTAAGAAATTGATGAAAAGACAGACAAATAATTGAAAGATATCTACAAATCACTTAAAGAAAACCAAGAAAAAGAAATCAAACATAGTCCCCCAATGTATGCTTTCTCTGTTTTCTTTAAGTGGAGAAAGCATACTTTGGGGACTATGGAAATAGAAAACACTATCCTGAGTGAGGTAAGCCAGACCCCAAAAGAGGAACATGGGATGTACTCACTCATATTTGGTTTCTAGCCATAAATAAAGGACATTGAGCCTATAATTCGTGATCTTAGAGAAGCTAAATAAGAAGGAGAACCCAAAGAAAAACATATAGGCATCCTCCCAAATATTAACCTTCATCAGGCGGAGAAAGAGACAGAGACCCACATTGGAGCACCGGACTGAAATCTCAAGGTCCAAATCAGGAGCAGAAGGAGAGAGAGCATGAGCAAGGAACTCAGGACTGCGAGGGGTGCACCCACACACTGAGTCAAGGGGGATGTTCTATCGGGAACTCACCAAGGCCAGCTGGCCTGGGTCTGAAAAAGCCCGGGATAAAACGGGTCTCGCTGAACATAG